ACACCCAACCACTACACCACAGCCTCAAGTGCCAGATCTACTTTTTTTTTACACACCTCCAGGGTTGGTGACTCCACCACCTCCCTGGGCAGCCTGTTCCAGTGCCTCACCACTCGTTCAGTAAAGAACTTCCTCCGAATATCCAATCTAAACTTACCCTGACGCAACTTGAGGCCATTTCCCCTTGTCCTGTCATTAGTAATTAGAGAGAAGAGCCCAGCACCAGCCTCACTACAGCCTCCTTTTAGGTAGCTGCAGAGGGCAATAAGGTCTTCTCTCAGCCTCCTCTTCTCCAGACTAAACAAACCCAGTTCCCTCAGCCGCTCTTCATAGGGCAGGTTTTCCAGACCTCTCACAAGCCTTGTTGCCCTTCTCTGCACCCGCTCCAGCACCTCAATGTCCTTCTTATACTGTGGTGACCAAAACACGGAAAGCTTTGTGTGTCAGCATCCACTCGGGAAAAAAAAGGCCTCTTTTTGCTCTGGATCAAGATGTAAAAGGAGGTAAGTGGCCCCAGGAAGGCTGTAAATTGAGAAACATCTCTCGATATTCTGTGGTGCCTTTAGTTCCCCGGCGTTCCCAGCAGACAGGGATGTGAGAAGGAGCGGGAGCTACCCGAAAAGCCGTGCAAACCTCAGCGGATTTTGGAAACTAGTGGGTGAAGGGCTGCCCGGAGACGTGGCAGAAAGATTCATACCCTCAAAACGTGAAACTGCAAATACACAACCGGCTTTGAGAAATTGGTAGAAAATAGCAGGAGAAAATTGAGGTGCTCCAGAAAATAGCTCTACCCAGGAACTGTAGGGTCACAGAATGGTTTGGGTTGGAAAGGACCCTAAAGATCGTCTAGTTCTAGCCCCCTGCCCTGGGCAGGGACACCTCCCGCTCCGAGCCCCGTCCCACCTGGCCTGGAGCACTCCCAGGGATGGGGCGTCCCCAGCTTCTCTGGGCACCCTGTGCCAGGCTCTCACCGCCCTCACTGTAAAACTCTTCCTTGTGTCCAATCTAATCCTATTCTTGTCCAGTTAGAACGTGATCCTTGGTCACTCTCCAGTGGCTTCTCACTTGGTTTTGTTGCTGGGCTAATGGAAAACAGGCAGCGAGGTTCAAGCAGGCTTTAAAGAACTGGCCTCAAATCGCTGTCGGCATTTGCACCGCAGGGATTTCAAGGTTCTACCTGCCCAGTTCAAAAAGCTGTTCAGCAGACTGGATCACGGACGTTTTTGCCGTTTTATTTTTAAGCCCTCCGGGAGCTTGTTTACTGAACGATCCAAACTATTGAAGTGTGGATGAGTATAACATCTGGTTTTCAGCAGGGAAAAACACACCTTGTTTATTTTGAATTCCCTGCAAGAATGAGCCCGAAGAAAACTCTAACAGCCAATCCCCCCCTCCCCTAAATCCCTCAACATCCACAAAGACCTCATCCAGCCTCAGTTTCAAAGCTCAATTTTAAACCTTTCCCTCTCTGAGCATCCTTGATTGGAAGGTGCCAAGCTGGGGTAAAGATGCTGCCGACCCTTCCAGCCAAAAAATGAGAAGCAAACTGTTGGTTTTTAGGGTGACAACCTGTACCCAGCACACAGACCACACCCAACACTCTGAATTTGGGAGCACGGATGCGTGGGACAACGGGCAAACGGGGTGTGAGCACGAGCGGGGAGCGCTGTACCTGGGGGACGCCGGGAAGTGGGCATCGCTCCGCGCCACATCGCCTCCGCTGTCCGCGTCCTCGATGTCCACGGTGGGGTAAGGACCTGGCCCGTGGAGAAGGACAATAAGGGCGGGTGAGAGGGGTGCTCAGCTCAGCCAGGATGAATCCCAAGCCCCATCACCTCCCCAGACTCTCCTTCTCCCTCCATTCCCTTCTCGCCCAGCCAGTTTGGAGCGTTTCTCTTTTTTGCCCGTTTTTTAATGGTAGAAGACGTGCCACCGGCTCCTCTTCTGCTTTCCCAGCTTGCAGAGGTGACAACAGCTTTGTTTGCGTCGGGTCCTTGCGGATCGGAAGCTGATGGAGAGGAGGGTGACCAGCCACCCGGGCTGCAGGGGAACCCCCAATTTCCAGCCACAAATCTGCCTCCCAGGGTCTAGAAAATCACCTGGGTCTTCTGAACAGAAGCATACGGCTCACACCAGCTCCAAATGACATGCATTCGCTTTCCATGCAGAGTAAGGCACTATTTAAATAAGGATTTACGGCGAGGTAACAGCTGCCTCCCGCCAGCTGCGAGGGAGGGAAGGTTGGTGTTTGCGGCGGGTAACGAGAGATTCTGATGACTCAAGGGAGAAACGGCACCGGGATGAGAACTGTCATCCCTTTTCTTAGCTGTGTGACAAAACACAATGAGTTCCCATAGGATTTCTTCTAAGTGGGGGGTTCTGAAGGACCCTGGGGCTGACGCGGGACGGGTGGGTCAGAGCACG